CAACAGAGAATGGTCACAGTAAGAAGAAGAAGAAGAAAACTAAGTCACAAGATGATGAATAAACAAACAAGTCTGTGTAATGCACTAGTTTTTAGTTTTCTATCTCACATAGCTCTGGTTTTGACTTTAAAAACAATTTTAAACATAGCGGAAATTAGATAAGGTTTTCTACTCTTGAATTGAGTCTGTCTTAAACAAACGAACAAGCTTGATTGCTATCGAGTCTGTCTTAACTCTTAAGCTAGTTTTGTTTTCTTCCACATGCCTATGCTTTTGACTTATAACATCTTTAAACATATCGAAATAAGATCATATTTTCAACTATTGAACCTGTCTTAAACAAAAGAACAATGTTGATTATTAATTGTCAGGTCTGGTTCTGAACTTCTGAAGATGATCAAATTTTTGTTGATGTTGAAATGAATTTGAAGTATATATAATAAGGATCTGTTTTTGCACATTTCTTTGAAAATGTCGACAAAACAAATTAACACTACAAAGATGAATCAAACATTTCTTTATTATCTCAAACAAAACTAAAAAACACTAAAATTGCAGAAACCAGAGAATTCTGCTAAATCATAGCAACAAAAGAGCACAAGAATCTAATCGCAGAGAATAAGCCTAATCATGGCAAGAACCAAACACGAAACAGAGAAGAAGAAGAGCGTCACAAAATCCCTAGCAGACCATTTCCTCACAGGCTTGGACTCAACTCTCAAACTCTTTGCTCTACGAAGAGCATCAACTTCCTTTAGCAAATCAAATTCGATACCTTTCTTCTTCAACTCTTCAACACATTTACGCAACAGCTTCGCATCTTCTTTCTCCCTCTCTAACAACTTCTCAAGATGCGATTCAACTTCCGATTTGTACCTCACCGCCCAAATGATCCCCAACGAAGATAGCAGAGCGCAGAGTGAAGGGATCCATGATCTTTTACAAGCACTGGAAGCAGAAGCAGAGGAATATGATGATGAAGAAGAAGCGTGGAAGAGGAGTAGCAGAGAAATGGAGTGGAAGAGAAAGAAGAAGATGTAAAGCTGAGTGATTTCTCTTCGAACAGAATCGATCTGAGATTCTTTGTGAGAGACACGGCTGAGGATTAGCTCTTCTTCTTTTAGCCATTGTTTCAGGAGAAGCTTGTGTGTTGGTGTATCTGCGATCTGGTGAAGAGGATGTCTCGTCTTTGGCTCCATGATCGGTGGATTCGTGCTCTGATCTGACGCCATGGAAGCTTTGTGATTAGAGAGAACCAGAGATAGAAAGAGAGAGAGAAGTGTAGAGTTGTGATTCGCAGAGAAAAAAAGATGCCGACTTTATTGAGGCTCTTTGGTAACGGCTCTTTTGGGTTTTATTTTTAAATATTATGTGAATTTACAGATTTGTCCTGAGCGCGTAACGGTCATCAAAATACGGCTCGGCTAGGCTTGACACCGTCACACATACTTAATCTGGCCTGCGGTATATTAGGCCCATATGTGGCCCATAAGTAAATAAGTCTACAATTCACATGTACAAGCCATTAACACTAAACTTACATGTCATAATCATCTACATTACATCATATATAAGTGAATCTTTGTGAAGAAAATAGTGAGGAAGACCACTCACGTTATATTTGTGTTTAGTAATTAACTTATCATTAATCTTGAAACTAACGCTTGAACCACATGTCATCAACATACATAATGCAACCAAGAGAATTACAGAGAAAAACATTTTCTATCTCCGAACGTTACAAATTCGTAACACCTCTTAAGGAAATGGTGTGATTCACCTTTACCAAAAAGTGAAAAGTGTAATAACTAATAAGCATGAACAAAAAAATAGCTTTGCTTGCAAAAATTCTTATCCTCACCACACTTGTAACAACAATATCAGTAACCTCCAGAGCCAATGAAGAGCTAATGATGCAACAATGTCACAACTGTGACAATCCCACCTTGTGTCTTCGCTGTCTAAGCTCCGACCCCGCTTCTCATGAAGCCGACAAAGTCGGACTGGCTCGTATCATCCTCAAATGCATCAACTCTCAGCTTCTCATCCTCACCAAGAACACTTCCACTTTGGGCTCGCACCACTACCGGAATCCCAAGGCTGCAGCAGCGTGGAAGCAGTGCGGTTTGGGTTTCTCGACGGCTAAGCGTGGCCTGGGAGAGGCCGACGCTCACCTTATAACCGGAGATTACGACAAGGCTGCGAATGACGTCAGCGTGAAAGTGGTGAATCCTCCGGTCTCGTGCCGCAACAGTCTCGAGACACTCAACATCCAAGTCTCTTCAAGTTTCCGTTACCATATGGATGTTTACTTGGCGTTGACTCAAGCTCTCCTCAGGATCGTTGATCGCTTCTAGATAGTTTATGTTTCCTCAACAGTGTTTATCTTATCTATATATTATCAGTGACTTTGATTATGTCTAGGCCCTCAAATTAAAATCCAGGTTTGCTGCTTCTTGTAATCCGTTCAAGATTGAATGCAAAATAGTGACACCTACTGTAAAAAAGCTTAATGCCATCAGAACAAAGTAGCTGATTCTTTTTCTATGTTTCTGTATTTTGCATGACATAAGTTATAAGTTATAACCTTCATTAATCCTAGTCAATGTGTCAAACCTCTCGAAAAGATTGTATGAAGACGTAAAAAGCCAAAATTTCCCGGACTAATCTATTTGTTCCTTACTCTGTTTTTCGAAACAGAGTAATTTATCTTCTTCCACTTGAACATGAAACTAACTCAGGACTTAGCTACAGGTAAACTCAGTCGTGAATTTGGAAAAATGGTGACAACTTTGCTCTGTTCAAATTCCTTATGATAGCAATTATTGCCAAATTTTGTTGCACTTTTGTGACTTGTTCATATCACATAGTATGGATTGTTGTTAAAATGGTTCATGTTGCTAGTGATTTCTGATTCAAACTCAAGCTTGCTATATTTCCTTGTCACTGTAAAATGGTTCATATCACTAGTGATTTTTGTTTACAAGACTTCTTTCTAACAAACAAGGTAACACCTTTAACAAAAAAACAAACAAGGTAACATTTTCAGTTCTTAAAAAAAAAACAAAAAAAAAACGTTTTCAGTTCCAACTTCCAAGAGCCAAATAACAGACATCTTTTACACATTCCCTCATCCTCATTGATATCTTTGTTTCTGGTACAACTTTCTCTTAGAACTGTGAGAAGATATAATCAAGAGAAACTTTGGTGTTTTTGTTTTCTAGGAATAAGAATAAAATGTTTGGGCGGCAACTCGAACCCGGTTGCATGAACCTTGAGAACAAAATCAGGACATATCTTTAAAGTTTAAACACAAGATCTACCAGCTTCTTTATATTTTCTTATTTAATTAAAACTAGGAGAAAATCCGGGCTACCCCCGGTTATATAATTGATGATTAAAATTTTCTGAATTAGTTAACTTAGTTTTATTTAAAAAATATATATATATATTATTACATGCAAAAATATAATGTGATATATTTGAAAATTTTAAAAATGTGTTGGGTACTATCAATTGTTTAGTTTTTATCAATTATTTTTAGTGTAATTTATATTTATAATTTGTTTTTTGTTTTTTTTAATCAACTTCTTTGGCAGTTGGGATCGAACTATTTCTTGATATTTCTCATGAAGCTTAATGTAAAGGTTATTGTTGTAATTTTGCTTGCGACGTTACTAAAAATTGCATCTTTAATACGAACACTTGAGTGTTCATGTGACAATTTATCTTACAAAAGTTGGAGTGCATTATTTCGGAGAAAACATGGTTAAAGATGTTTTTACAATAGGTTGAATTGCAAGGTGGACACATTACGGAGAAACCATGTAAAAAATGCCACTATAATCCAAAAGAACCAGCATCAAACCATTAAGGAACATCTGCAATTGTATGTACTGCATAATAAATCTTTAATAATCTAGGAGAGATCCTTGTAACAGGGAAGCATGTATACCTAGGGGTGTCAAAATGGGTCAAGATTCATGGGTCAATCCAACTCAACCCATGAACCCTAATGAGTTCAAAATTTTGACTCAAATGGGTTGATGGATCAAATGAGTTATTGAGTCAAATGGGTTGATGGATCAAATGAGTTGGGTTGTAATGGGTCAATGGTTTTAATGGTTTACTCATTTAACCCATCAATTTTTGTTAAATTGAATCAAACCAATTCAAATGTCTAAACCGATTTCAATTTGATTATAACCAAAACTTCTAAACCGATTGAATATAATCTTTAATTTTCCCACCAAAAATAGGAATACATAATTTTTCCATCAAAAATATAAATTCGTGATTTTCCCGCTAAAAACGTAAATTCGCAATTTTCCCGCCAAAAACGTAAATACGTGATTTTCCCGCCAATTTTTTTTTATAATTTTTAACCAAAAACGAAAATGTGGAATTTTCCCGCCAAAAACGTAAATCCGTGATTTTCCCGCCAAAAACATAAATCCGTGATTTTCCCGCCAAAATGTTTAATAATTTTTAACCAAAAACAAGAATGTATAGTTTCCCGCCAAAAACGTAAATCCGTAATTTTCCCGCCAAAAACGAAAATCCGTAATTTTCCCGCCAAAAACAAAAATCCGTAATTTTCCCGCCAAATTTTTTATAATTTTTAACCAAAAACGTGAATGTAAATTTTTCCCGCCAAAAACGTAAATCCGTGATTTTTCCGCCAAAAACGTAAATCCATGATTTTCCCGCCAAAAACATAAATCCGTGATTTTCCCGCCAAAATTTTTAATAATTTTAACCAAAAACAAGAATGTATAATTTCCCGCCAAAAACGTAAATCCATAATTTTCCCGTAAAACAAAAATCCGTGATTTTTCCGCCAAATTTTTTATAATTTTTAACCAAAAACGAGAATGTAAATTTTTCCCCGCAAAAACGTAAATCCGTGATTTTCCCGCCAAATAATAGTGATGTTGATGATTATTATTATTATTATATTTTAATTATTAATTTATTTATTACATTAGTGGATTAATGGGTCAACCCATTGAACCATCTAACTCATCAAATTAAATGAGTTCATGGGTTGACTCAACTCATTTGGCTAAATGATTATTTGGCTAAATGAGTTGAGTCAACCCATGAACTCATTTAACTCTAAACTCATTGGGTAATGAGTTGAGTTGAGTTGGGTTAACCATTTTGACACCCCTAAGTATACCTGTTGTGGCTTGTACTGGTCACCAAATTTATTCTGCAGCTAGATAAGCAATAAACTATCAATCTTTGTCCCAACATTTGCTTGTCAACAATCTTAGTTAAAAAGGAAAATCCAAAAAGCAGAATTGTTACCTCCATTCTGGTCTTTATTTTCTTGTACCTTTTAGCAGGCTGGCCTCTTAAATTTGCTTTGAACAACACCCCCACCCTACCAACATTTCCTGAAAACGTCAAGAGATCCAGAACAGAATCTCGTTATATTTCATATCATGTCTGAAAGCAAAGTTGATAATAATCTTTGTATTTAAGCTAATGAGTTTCTTATTGACTCACCTCATATAGTGTATATATAACCTTATACTCAAAAACCAGAAACAATTTTACATGTCCAAGGAATATCTGAAACGAAAACTTACCATCAAAGTTACCTTCCTCATCAGATAAATGAAAATCCAACCAAGCTTCAAGATACATTATAAGATCCTTCCCAAAAGATCAAATTACAAACCATTAGGACACATGCATGTGGCTATTGAACAAAAAGAGATATCTAACCTAAGATGCTTTTGGTATATATGCGAATAGCAATTAACTCCTATATGTTGTTACCATAACTACTTATCTAGCACATAGCATAGAGAAACAATAATTTAATCTACAGATTGAGAACATACAAAATGAAATGGTCTTACATTGAAAATAAATCAATGGCTAATTAATACTTAATAGTAACATTTGAGTAGGGATACGAAACCAATGGAAGAAGAGAACAACTGTATTACGTATAGTGAGGAGGATATTAGTGGTGAAACCTAATGACAGGGTAAGACTCTTTGGTACACTTTGAGATTTCAGGTTTCGAATAGCTAATGCTTAAGGGCTAGTTTCCTTAGGCCTTAGCCATAAAATCGTTTCACACTGTAATCCTGAAAATTCAATGAGTTTCTCATAGTTATAAATATTGTGGGTAATTAGAAATCTAAATTTTCTCTAAACGCACCTGAAACCAACCAATGCGATGCCACATGAGTTCATTAGATATCATTGTCTGATTTGTCACCATTTTCTGTACTTGTTGAAAGCTGTGAAACATAATCAGCAAATTGGTGTATTGAAAGAGCTAACTCATAATAAAGAGGCTTACGCTTCCGCTGATTTTACTCTCGTTCCTTTAAAAGAAAAGAAAGAACATAATTAGATACTGCGAGAAAATAAAAATAACATGCAAACCTTTGTGTGAAATCCCTAAGATCTGCTTGCAACCAAATCGAAATAGAAACACATGCTGGATCACTGTCTGATATTTAACGCATAAATTTTTTTGATGTATTTTTGGAGATCATTAGGAAGCGTAATTTATATTGAATTTCATTCGTTGTGATAATATTTGGAAGACGAAAGGGTAATGGGGAAGAGAAAGAAGAACATAATTAGATACTGCGAGAAAATAAAAATAACATGCAAACCTTTGTGTGAAATCCCTAAGATCTGCTTGCAACCAAATCGAAATAGAAACACATGCTGGATCACTGTCTGATATTTAACGCATAAATTTTTTTGATATATTTTTGGAGATCATTAGGAAGCGTAATTTATATTGAATTTCATTCGTTGTGATAATATTTGGAAGACGAAAGGGTAATGGGGAAGAGAAAGAAAGGTGAAGAGGCGAAGAAACCTAAATTTTTTTTTTCATTTACTTGCAACGATTGAATCTCTAACATATTAAGCTGACGTGGCAATCTGAGGTTAAACTTTAAAAAGCTGATGTGGCTAGTCTTAGAAGCCTCAATTAGTCCCTTTTATTAGTAAGAGATTTTGGCAGCAATATACAATAGAAAATTTAACTCTGTGGAACAAGAATACTCTTCTAAAGTGGATTAAATTTCATGTAAAAGAAGTTGAAAAAACAAACTTTCTTGCTTCTTTATTTGGTTCTTCAAGGGAACAGCTACATGCCTAAGATTCATTTCTCAGGCAACATGCACCAATAACAATAGCCAAACACAACTTGCAAAAATAGCACTTTGACCCTTCTTTTTTTTTCTTTTTCTTTTTCGTTTTATCCAATTCTTTCATTTTTAACTCTCTGAAAAGCAAAGTCTGAAATTTTGAGACAGTTTATAAGTTATTGTTTAAGAGTAATTAACTGTATAGATCAGTCTTTGTTTGAGGAAAAAATGAAATGCTTCTTTTCACTGTAGGATGATTAAAGGTAGGAATCTTTTCAGATAACAAACAAAGATCGAACTAAGATATCAGTTTCGCTTTAGCTTAACAGAACACATGAAAGCAAGATTTCCTAAGAACAACTTTTTGAGTTTGAACGAACTTAAAAGCCAACAAAAACTCAAAACTATTAACTATAAACAATTCAATTAAAAAAGGTATCAGTACTTTGAAGGCAACTCGACGCAGATTTTTAGATATTGATAATTTACTATTCCTGTGGAATGCTGATGAGATTTTTTTTTAGAGCATAATTAAATCCACAAATAGGATAAGATCGGATAGTAGTTTTTAAAATGAAATGATATTCTATTCCTATACATTTATGAAAATTAATTTGTTTATAGAACTAATACCCAAATTCTCTTGTTGATTTTACTACAATAATTTCTTATGATGTATATAGTTTGAGATATTTTGAAGATCTTCTTTTATCTCAAAAAATATTTCATTGTCTAGTCCATGGGACGAGTTTGAAGTTAAGCAGATCTTGGAAAGAGAATCTAATATTATGAACTAGTACTATTTCGCTGAAAACAAGATAAAAGAAAGAAAAACATGTCTCCCTTTAATCTTTGAATGCATATTCAGTCATGTCATGACCCATCCATCATCTTTCTTCGAATCTCCTATCTCACTGAACATGTTTGGAGGCAGCCTTCCGTATTTGATATCGATCTACACTTATGATCTCCTATGTCTCCAAGAATCATATTTGATTTTTTATTTTTTTCAGCATTGTCACAATTTTCCATTCTTGTTAATTCATAGTTAAATTAATTAAACAAACCTGACTCGTTGTGATTCAGAGGTTGAAAATTTTGTCATACGGTAGATTTGAATCATATACAGCTTAAATGTGGCAAGAATCTTCATAGTCCCCGGAGATTATACGTACTTTAGTTTATATAATCCCCGGCGAAAAATTAAAAGCATTGGCGATCAGAGTTCAGATATCAAATCTTGCAAAATACGCATGTATGGTTGTCATGCAAACGTATTATTATGATGTAACCAGGGAATATATCAAGTAGACTGAGGAAGTAGGGGGTAAATAGACACAAATCTAAGTTCATAGACAATTTGCTTAAATATTATTGGTGGATTCAAGTCATGGGGGCTGTTTTGTACTTGGAGTAATTAATAATGCAAACAATTGGAAGAACATGTGTTAAGATTCTGGGGCTAGGCGTAGGGTTTCTCTTTACGTAGTTTTCATAGCGTGTGTATTTGTGTACGGCCCTTTGAAATAACGCGAAAACATTTATTCTCATTTCTTATAAATTCTCTTTTTTCTGTTTAATGAAAAAAAGACTAGACAAGAACATTAGCAACTAAGGACAATTGGTGTGGCTTAAATTAGATATCTAATTATTCGGCTGTGCTCCATTGTCTAACGTATCACCATTCGACAGATGTATCTTAGTATCTACTATATATCAATTATTAAATTCAATAAATTACTTAAGCTGTTTGAATTTTCATATTACCGTAGTTAAAATTTTACAAAAAATGTTCTTAAGGGAGATAAAACAAGTACAATGGCCAATCCGAAGGTGGATGAATGTAGAAAGAAAAGTGAGAAATAAACCAAAATAGAAACAGTTAGAACATAAAAGGAAGAATGAGCTGGTAATAATTAAGATGGTAAGTTAAGAAAATGGCTTTGACAGCATGAAAAGAGAGTGTAATAAGAAGTTATTAACAGAGCAGAGAGTCTCACTAACTGTAAGTCTGGTGTTTTCGGTCAGCCCAATTTGTGTTACGGTCAGCCTGCCCGAACCCAACAACTTGTAACATCTCTCATACAAAAACTCCTCTCTACGTTTCCTATATATATACACACTTGCACACACTCTCATTTCCTCCCAAACAACCCCAAATATACAAAATGGCATCATCTCTTCCTCAGTTCTACGCTGATTTCACAACATTTTCCGGTGAGACTTCTTCGCAGTTTCAGGGCTCTTCTTCATGTCCCGACGTGGACTCTTCGTTATCCAGCTACCTTGACGACTGTTATGGCTCCTTCAACACCTCTTCTAATCCAGAATCCATCTTTGTACCCCAAGTTTTTGGGATTTCTGACGTCTCTGTGCCTGAATACAACAATTATTACGAGAAAATGAGTGTGAATAATGCCACACAATACTTTCATGGTGGGGATCATCAAGAATACTACGGCTTTTCACCGGAGATCAAGCCCTTGTTCCGTCCGGCCACAGGAGAGCAATCTTGGGTACATATGCACGTTTCAAAATCTTATAATTAATATGAGAGCCATGTAATATATATGCAAGAAACGAAATAAAATAAATATTTGTATGAAGCAGGGAAATAGTGAAGGAGGGATACAGGCTGAGCCAAACACAAAAGTGGGACGCTATTCGGTGGAAGAACGTAAAGACAGAATCATGAGGTACTTGAAGAAGAAGAACCAACGCAACTTCAATAAGACCATCAAGGTATGCATATATACACTCATTCTTATTTAATTTAGTTAATTATTCGTTTTTTTAATGTTCATGAATTATGAAAATAGAGTTTTAAAATTATGATATATGTATATATGCAGTATGTGTGTCGTAAAACCCTAGCCGACCGACGTGTTCGTGTTCGCGGCCGATTTGCTAGAAACAATGACACATGTGAAGAACAATCTCACATGTCTAAGAATCACAACAACCATTCTGAAAAAGAAGAAGACATGTTTTCAGGATCAGACGACTA